GGTTGCAGCCATTATTGTTGGCGGGCCTGGGCTGGATTCGAACCCACCACCTTAGGTGTATGTGGCTGGTGCCTTAGCCACTTGAGCCACAGGGGCCGAACCACACTCTTTTTTTTAATGGCCTGCTGCCTTTATCTCAAGAGTTGTTTTGAAAATACTGTGACTCCTAAAATGTAGTTAGACCTTGATAAACGTTAGCTATGTTTGTAAGAAAACTTGTTATACCCAAGTAATTTTTGCTACCCAGTGATTTATGTTTTACTCACTGATCTTGTACTTGTTGGGGGCTTAATGTGGACCCACACCTCTTTCCCTCCCACTCCTACAATGAAAGGTCTATCTGGCCCCATCCCCAGAGTCCCTAGCCCACCAGAACCTTCCAGAAAGCTGTAGAATCTTTCTCCTCCTATACTCAGTACAAAAAGAGGTCTCTGACTGCCCTCGGAGCAGATGCCATCTTTGCCCTGCCCTGGGGGTGGGGGGGGGAGCTCCGTACCTTTGCTTAAAACTGGCCTGAACCTCTCCTGGTCTCCTCTCTGGGTACGCCACGAACCCCTTTAGTACCTAACTGTAATGTCTATTACTAACTAATAAGATTTACCAGTTCACTTTGGTGTCAGAATAAGTCACCACGATATAAAATACTATACACAATTGCAAAGAATACAGGCTGACATGAGAGTTATGTGGAGCAGGTTTCTAAGAAAGTTAATGTGGTAAGTGCTGCCAGTAGGTGGCTTCTGGGGGACAAAAAATTGTCAAAGCCTGATATGTTAAAGGCTAAAAATGCCCACCCGTTCTTTCTGGTATAACTAAGTGTTACAACCTGCTCTCTGCCTAGTTAGACAGCTTTGTGTCAGGAATAGAAGAAACCAACCTTTATAGACAGGAGGCAAGCTGACCAATCTATTTTGGTCAATTCCTTGCAAACTTCTATCTGCACTTTCTCACAAACAGAACCAAATTACAATCAAACTTAGCAATGCACTGTGCCAAGGCCACACATGATAGGTAACCCCCATGATAGTTGCTGGAACAGAATAAAACTTTCTTCTTGAGGTTGGTCATGGTGGTGCATACCTGTAATCCTAGCTGCTCCATTGACTGAGGCAGAAGAATCATTTGAGCCCAGGAGTTTGAGGTTGCTATGAGCTATGATGACTCTTGCTATGAGCTATGATGACTCTTGCTATGACATAGCAAGATCCTGTCTCAAAAACAAAAAACCAAAACAAGGCTGGGTGACATGGCTCATATCTGTAATCCTAGTACTCTGGGAGGCCAAGGCAGGTGGATTTCCTGAGCTCACAGGTTCAAGACGAGCCTGAGCCAGTGAGAGACCTCATCTCTAAAAATAGCTGGGCATTGTGGTGGGTACCTGTAGTCCCAGCTACTTGGAAGGCTGAGGCAAGAGAATCGCTTGATCCCAGGAGTTTCAGGTTGCTGTGAACTGTGACACCACAGCACTCTACCAAGGGCAAAAAAGTGAAACTCTGTCTCAAAACAACAACAACAACAAAATGAGCTCCATGCCTGTAGCTCAAGCGGCTAAGGCACCAGCCACATACACCAAAGCTGGCGGGTTCGAATCCAGCCCAAGCCTGCCAAACAATGACAACTACAACCAAAAAATAACTGGGCGTTGTGGTACTCTACCCAAGGCAACAGCTTGAGGCTGTCTCCAAAAAAAAAAAAAAAAAAGACAAAAACAAAACAAAACAAGTTATTGGAGTGTTTGGAGTGTTTGGAGTGTTGGGCAGTGGCTGTGGCTTAGTGAGTAGGGTATCGGCCCCATATACCAAGGGTGGTGGATTCAAACCCAACCCTGGCCAAACTGCAACAAAAAAATAGCTGGGTGTTATTGCAGGCACCTGTAGTCCCAGCTACTCGGGAGGCTGAGGCAAGAGAGTCACCTAAGCCCAAGAGCTGGAGGTTGCTGTGAGCTATGACGCCACAGCACTCTACTGAGGGCAACAAAGTGAGACTCTGTCTCTTAAAAAAAAAGAAATAGGGCGGCACCTGTGGCTCAAAAGGTAGCGCACTGGTCCCGTATGCTGATATGCCTGAGGTGGCGGGTTCAAACGCAGGCCTGGCCAAAAACTGGAAAAAAAAAAAAAATGTTCTTGGAGTGTTGAAACTATCAAGGAAAAAATTGTAGGGATTAGATTTTACAGATATATTAATACTGTAGTCTACGTACCTTCCATTGGAAAACAACAACAACAACAAAACAACTAGTAAAATGGTTCAGCCTCTCAGGAGAGTTTTCATTCACAGTCTGTTTCTGTACAGATCTTGAGAGGTTTTGAAGTAGGTCCTACACGGAAATAAGGCCGAAGAGGTTCACTAAAAGTGTCACTGTAAGTACAGATGTGAGATTTCTCAGTCATGTTGTAGAATGAGATCTCACCCAGCTCATAGTCCAGGAAAACGCCAATGCCTCTGGCTTCCACTTCTAACTGTAACGGGGTTGGAACAGCTCCTGGAGCATCATAGCCACCATCCCGCAGCTGAATGCTCCAGCATCCCTGCCGGGGTGATGGTGGTTTCCTTGTCTTTGTGGGAAGAGAGTCCTTGCAAACCCCAATAGCCCATTCAGACTGGTCTCCCACTTCCACTTTCCAGAAATGCCTGCCAGAATAGAAATATGGAAAACCCAGGACAACCGGTTTGACTGTAAATCTTTGGGGAAAATCAGGAACCTTTTGTTTTTTCTTTGTAAATCTCACACATTTTTTATCTTCAGAGATAATCAGGTTAGGATGTGCTGTTTCAGGGTCTAGAATCACATCTACTTTAAATTTCTTTATAATTCTCTGAAGAGCAGAATACTGGGGAGGAAAACTGCAGCCTTCTTTCTTTAAGTGAATTGAGAAGACTAATGGGCTGACCTCATTTTCAGACCTGTAAAAAGTTTTGATTTGTGAGAGCAGTTCCACTTCAGACAGAACACTGAGCTCTTCTACTTTGCTTAATTGACTTTTGAGTGTGGCAACATAGTTTGTGAATTCTGTTATGTTTGCACTGAGTTTCTGTTGAATGTCCTCCTCTTCTTCAGCTAACCTGGAGAAAACTGCATGTTGTTCACGTTCTAAAAACTGGTTCAGGTGCTCAAATTCAGAGGATAATTCTTGCCTTTGGTTTTCTACCATTGCTCTCAGTTCTAAGGGTTTTTTTCTTTGACTGCTTATTAATTTTTGAAGGTCTACCAATTGTTTCTTCAGGGATGGCATATAACTGCGGAGTCTTCTCCTGTGATGAGAGGCAGCCTCCTCGATGGGCCTCACGTGGTGGGCCTGGTGCTCAGGGGCCTCAGTGCACAGGGAACACAACACCGCCAGGTCCTCCTCACAGAAAACATTCAGGACCTGGCTGTGCTTTTCACACAAAGGTGTTTCTTCCTGCCTCTTTTTATTGCTTTGGGGTGTGTGCAGCAGCTTGGCAATTTCAATCATCCTCCCCAGCTGGGTGTTGCTCCGGAAGTGCCCCTCTTGGCATTGGTGACGACAGACAGGGCAAGGGAAACTGTCCTGTAGATCTGCCCAGGACTGTTGGATGCAGGAGCGACAGAAGTTGTGCCCACATTCGATGGTAACTGGGTCTCTCAGGTAATCCAGACAGATGGGGCACTTGGCTTCTGCTTGGAATCCTGCCACAGCTGCTGCCACCGCCATTGGGCTGTAAGTGAAGGTCTGGACAGAGAGGGGCTTTCTTCAGGAGCTGGGGCTCTGCAGTGAGCAGCAGAAATGGCCTCAGTTCACACGTCCTTCCTGGAGGCAGCTGAAGACCTCACCACAAGCCCTCTAGTTTCTCATATTGGGGATAGCGCTTGAAAAGTCCTTTGAGTCTTCAGACCCTTCAATTCTAGCTGCCTGTCTAGCCCAGGGCTGCTCCCAGAGAATCAAGCCATGCTGAGCAGCATGAGCAGCATCCAAGGAACACAGCCTGTGCCTCAGTCATTAATTGCTGGGGGTAAGAAGATCTTTCCTTAAAAGAAAACAAATGAAGCCATGTCCCAAATTTGTTGCAAGTGGTCCTCCCCTGGACTGTATTGCAGTAAAGCATGGATTGCTCTCCCTGTCTCTCATGCCCACCCTCCACCACCTGGCACCCACAGCCCCACATCTGGGCCACCTGCCGGGCACCCCTCCCAGGGGCTGGTATTGGCTGGACTCTGGGGCACACACCACATGCGTACTAGAACAAAGCCTTTGTTACCTAACTATGTCACTTGGGGAAATTAATTTTATATCCCAAATCCTTGTTATCAGGTAAATAAGGACAATAATCTCCCTTTAAACTTTGGTCTTATGAGAATATAGGAGAACTTAAGGAACATCCTCATTAGTTTGGGCGCTTAAAATAAGCTATTTCGAACAGCCCCAAATTTGCATTTGCCAACTTTGGTTTGTTATTTTCAGCCTTGCTTCTCTACATAGCTGAATATGGCCTGAAGATATATTTGTGAAAAGAAACACAGGAGGTAAAACAAGGGTGCCCAACCTATGGCTCAAGGGCCTCATGCAGATTTTCTGAGGACTGTTATCTGTGGTGTCAGATATTGCAAAAATTAAACACAAACGTTTTTCTTTTTGAGACAGAGTTTCACTATGTTGCCCTGAGTAGAGTCTTGTGGCATCACGGCTCACAGCAACTTCAAACTCCTGGGCTTATGTGATTCTCTTGCCTCAGCCTCCCAAGTATCTGGGACTACAGGTACCTGCCACAACACCTGGCTATTTTTTTGATTGTAGTTGTCACTGGTTGGCAGGCCCAGGCTGGATTTGCACCCTCCAGCTCTGATGTATGTGGCTGGTACCTTAGCTGCTGAGCTATAGGCACCGAGCTGACACCAGCTATCTTTTAGAAATAGGTTGTCACTCTTGCTCAGGCTGGTCTTGAACTCCTGAGCTCACGCTATCCACCTGCCTCGGCCTCCCAAGTGCTGGGATTACAGGAGTGAGTCACCACGCCTGGCCTCTCAACCTCTTTTTGTTCATCAGCTTTCATTAGTGTTTGTGTTTTTCATGTGTGGCCCCAGAAAACTCTTCTTTCAATATAGGGCATACACACACACACAGAAAAAAAGGTAGAACACTACTGATAGAACATACATCTAGAATAATATAAACAAAACTTGAGATTGGGTGCTATGACTCATTCCTATACTCTCAGACCTTTGAGAGCCAAGTTTGGAGATTGCTTCAGGCCAGGAGTTGGAGACCAGCCCGGGCAACACAGTGAGACCCTGTCTCTACAAAATATTTAAAAGGTATTTGGAGGCCAGGCGTGGTGGCTCACACCTGTAATCCTAGCACTCTGGGAGGCCAGGGTGGTTGGATTGCCTGAGCTCACAGGTTCAAGACCAGCCTCAGCCAGAGTGAGACCTGTCTCTAAAAATAACTGGGCTGTGGTGGGTGCCTGTAGTCCCAGCTACTTGGGAGGCTGAGGCAAGAATCACTTGAGCCAAGAGTTTGAGGTTGCTGTGAGCTGTGACGCCACAGCACTCTACTGAGG